GCGGTCGCTGTTGTTGCGCTGCTGCTGATGTCAGCGACGCGCTTTAATTGGGCGCGCTTTAGTGGACTGCGGTTTTGTCGTGCCACGTTTTAAAGAACATTTGTGGGAGCCCTTTTCTGCCTGAGGCTGTGGAGACCTGGTACCAATCAAAACACTGTTTGTGAAGCAACCAATCAACACTGATAGGGAAAGCCACTAGTATATAAAAGTAAGAGCAAACTCCACTCCCTTCTAGTACTGATGATATTACCTAGTTTGATAATGAAATATCTGCAAGAAAACCATCAAGCTCAGAGAGCATCAAGGACCCCAAGTTCAACCCTAAGCTACAAATATTGAGCTACTCTATTGATAAACACTTTTTGGTTAGAGTGACCCAAAGCCTGCCTTGTATGAGATGGCTCCCACTGGATTTCAGTCTAAATCTTGATATGATTTCTATAAATAAGGAATGTAGAATTATAATGGCTGAATATTTGATCCTTCATACATAAAAAACAAGGGATAAACCAATAAAAAAACAGATTTGAAAAAAGAACAGGCTCAGGAAAGAAAAAGAATGAAAGTGTAAGAAAGAAAGAAAGGAATAGAAGGAAAACAAAAAAGAATGACTTCCAACTTTCTTTAGTATAGATGTAAGAAAAAATATATCAAACTCTTACTCTAAGATTAACATTTGTCTACATTATTTCCATAATCCTATATCTACTCATTAAAGCCCAAATCAACTTTTAATTTCAGTTTCTCACAAAAAGTCCAGTAATGATTCATATCACTTTAATCACTATTTGTTAGGGAAACTACAACTGGTTTATTTAATTGCACCAAATTCTAAATAAAACAGGAATGGAAAATCTTAAGCTGTAGTGTACATCCATGCTTCTCAATTTTGGCAATTTTAAGGTGTATGGACTTCAATTCCAGAATTCCCAAGGCAGCATGAAGTTCACTCATCTTAAACTTGCCAAGACTGAAAAACGCTGCTCTACAGATAGGAATTTTTCCATTTCTCTTTTACTGGTTCTTTCTTACTTATGAGCAACCATAATGCAAAATCCTGACTTCCACATCATTCCAGACCAATGATAATGCAAAATCCTCACTCCCATCCCATTCCCTGACTAATCTATCTTCCAGTTCTGTTCTCCTGCATGCAGAGCAGCAAAAGAAGACCATGTGACTTTCAGTTTCCACACTGGGTTTGCACACCTTTACACTTGGATTTGTTACATATGCCAAATAATACCTTTGAATAGTATCATAAAAGCAGATTACATCAAATTAGAATTAGATTAGATTAGATGAGATTAGATTTAGTTTATTTGTATCCTTCTCCGGGAGGGACTCAGGGTGGTGAACAACTCAAAAGGGGAAAGGGGGATACAAACACAATACACGTAATTAAAATACACAAGAGTCATACANGGAAGATAAGAACTACTGACTAGGCAGCCTTAGATAAGAGGCAGCCGAGTTCACAGAAGCAATAAGGGTGTGGCAAGCATCTCAGAAGGGACCCTCCCGAAGTTCTTCAACTGAAAAGGTGAGCAGAGAGAGATGGATTCTCAGACTGGAAGGATTATGTGAATGGAACTTTACTATACAGTTACAGCTGGTACTTTGGGTGTTCTTATCTGGCCCACCTTGCAATGCTAATATTGCTAAGAAAGGTCGTAAAAATGGGGCAAACCCACTTAATAAATGTCTCACTTAACAACCAAGATGAGCCACGGCTTCGCAGTGGTTAGAATGCAGTACTGCAGGAGACGTCCGCTGATTGCCAGGTGCCTGAAATTTGGCAATTTGAATCTCACCAGGCTCAAGGTTGACTCAGCCTTCCATCCTTCCGAGGTGGGTAAAATGAGGACCCAGATTGTTGGGGGCAATAGGCTGACTTCTGCAAACCGCTTAGAGAGAACTGTAAAGCACTGTGAAGCGATATATAAGTCTTAAGTGCTATTGCTATTTAGGGCACAATTGTGGTTGTAAGTCGAGGACTGCATGTACAGAACGAGCAAAAGCGTCTAATTTTTCATGTCATGCTACTTGAAATCTCACTCCCTTTTTGTCTTCTGCCTTCTTAGTTTGCAGGTTGGAACAGTCTGGATAAACAGCCATAATATGTTAGATGCGGCAGCTGCCTTTGGAGGGTATAAGGAAAGTGGCCATGGACGGAACGGAGGCAAAGAGGTTAGTGAGGAAGGGCCGTAAGCAGCTGGTGGGAAGGATCCAGGGGTGGGTTTCTCGCCCCGTTCCAACCGGTTCGGTTGGAACGAGGCCGGCGGCGTCTTGCGCATGCGCACGGTGCGCACGTGCACTGCGCACGTGCATACTAGCGTCTGTGCGATGCTCCAGCTGCTCCTAGAGGATCGCGCAGGCGCTGTATACATCCTGCGCATGCGTGGAAGCGCAGAATTCAGCAAAACCTGGTAAGGAGCAGGTGCGGGCGCGCGGGCGCGCGCGGGCGCGGGGGGGGCCTTCGCCGTTCCCGGAAGTTACTTACTTCCGGGTTCGGCAACCAACCGGATCGCGGGGACCGCCGCGAACCGGTTGAAACCCACCCCTGGAAGGATCCCAGCACATCTCTAAGTTTCATTCTGAATTCTTTCTGTCCAGGCACTTTATGAATACGTGAAACCAATGTGGGAAATCCAACCACACATCGGTGGTATGGATCTGAATTACAAAATCTTTGCTACTTCACCAAAGAGTTCTCTCCCACTGATTTCTGGGGATAAAGTTCCCTGCTTTATAGTTTCTGAGCTGAAAGAAGATATTCCAAGGTAAGAATAAGTGTGAAGGTGCCTGACTTTCTCAGAAAACTACTTAGCGCACTTTGTAGCAATTTTTTTTTTTAAAAGGCAGCAAATCAGACTGGATGAACTTACACAGCTACTGTACTTCAGAAGAGAAGTGGGGCAACTTGCTGCAGCCAATTTGCCGTGGCTAACTTGCTGCAGCTAACTTGCGCGATGCCTGGTTCCTTTTATTTTTGTTGACCACGTTTTCATTCAAATTTATGTTATTTCTTATATCAAAATAAATAATTCTTATGATTACCAGCTTTTTGTAATGCTTTGATGATGAATTATTAAAGGAAGTAGACCCATAGTGCTGGTCTGTGGACCACTTGCAGTCTGAGAGATGGCCCACCGAAGCAATTACTCCCGCTTGCTAATGGGATGGGGTCCTTCAGGCACTTAGCTTGGCTGCCTGTTTAGTAGCTCCAGCCCTTCCGTCCTTCCCTCCCTGGGAGTCCAGACGCTTCAGTGAGCGGTGTGCGAAACTTCGGCCAGGCTCCTCGAAAGACAGCGTTTGCAGGAGGCCGATCTAGTGCCTGGCCTCGCTACAAGATAAACATTCATTCTTGGCCGTATTTGAGATTCCTAGCTGCAATAGACAGCAAACCTAGGGTTGACCCTGGATGCTTGGCTCCACTAACAGGTGGCCAAGCTAAGTGCCTGAAGGACCCCATCCCATCGCTAATTCATATTAGTTGCCCATGGGATTTAAAATTATGAATTTAGTCGTCCCTGAGGTCCTAAAGGTTGGTGACCCCTGCCATAGTGAATTATCCTGTGGTGAGTTGTTACAGAGTCTCTGAACACTCCTGTCAAACCCTTGCATTATGGGGAAATGTTAAAAGGGCGGCTAGACCTAATGAGCACATGTGCTAGTTTGGTGTTTGCATGTTATTATCAGATGTATATTTTGCCTTCTCTATTATGCAGATCAAGGTGGTATACTTTAGGCTCCTTACTTCTATTTTCCCACAGCAACAACCTTGGTAGAAGGGTTGGGTTGAGAGGAGAAGTACATGCTACTGGGAGGACTAGAACTCACAGTTGCCTTGCTTCTGGTCCAGCAACTTAAACACTACAATAAAGATGTCGGCCTCCCTTTATCTCTAGGCTACATGTTTATTGAGAAAAGACCTATATCACTTTATCCAGAGTTGCTGAAGCTTTACAACTGCTGCAAGATATATGAGATATGTGTCCTCATTAACCTTTCCGCAAGAATGGAAAATTGCAATAAAGCTTAAGAAAAAAAACAGGAAAAGATCTTTATTATTGAGTTTTTGTTCAAGGTGGAGCCGTTGCCCTAATTCTGGAGCGCAGCACATTAACGAGTTTTTAAAAAGTGGTTAGGATCAAGGGTTCACCAGCGTTTAAATCTCAGCTTCTACTCCGATTCATTGGCCAACAACACCTAATCCGTCTTCTAAAGTTCAATGTACAGAGTTCCCCCACTTCAACTAAATTCCAAGAACAATAATGGAGCCCAGGTGAATAAGTAAGCTTTATGAGGGAGCAGGTGTGTGGACCTTGGAGTGAGCGGGCATGTGAACCCTCCCTATGATCAATAACAGAAGCCTGGTTCTATCATGCACAGCGACTGAGGGGCATTTCAGTAAAGATATAAAGCCTTTCCCTTCTCATTAAATAACCAGATAATTCCTAGCCATCTTTTGTATCTCAGTTTTGAGGAAATACAGGGTTTTTATTTGTAGTTTTTGAACATAAAGAGGGCTGTGAAAATATCTACAGACCCCTCACATCCTGGACATAAATTGTTTCAACTTCTACCC